GAAACATTTATTATGCCAATTTACTCATAAATTGTCGATAATAAATTCCCAACTTAGCATTACCCTTTTTATTTTTACAAATTTTTTTCTCTTTATAAAATATACAATAAGGTATTCATATTTTATACATTATTTCAAATATAAATTTTAAGTTGTACTCATACGTTTTATGTATATATTTTAATTTTATATTTACAATTATGATTTTCTTTAATGTATGGTTAATTATCTCTAAGTAATAGCATATATATATATATAAACAGTACCAAGAAGTGACACGTGTCATTCTTGGTGTCTATTTTAGTATTTTGTTATTGATTGATTGATTATTGATATGGAAAATATGTGAATATTTTTTTTAGAAAGTGAATCACAATTATATGATTTAGTGAATATTTTTGTAAGGAAGTGAATCACAAATTCACAATTATATAAAGAAGTGGAGTTAAGGTGACAAATAGGGACTAAACTTTTTTATATTTCATCTTTTGGGACCTGAACTTTTTTGTTTCACCTTTTGGAACCTAGGAAAGAATTTTAGTGGGATAAATTAACTATGGTTAGGGGGGGCACCAATTGTTTTAGGTTCTAATTTATTTGCAAAAGAGAATTTTTTTTTAGTTTTCCCTAAAAAAAATAATGCGTGTTAACCAAAAAAAATAAAATCAATAAAAAATAAGGCGCCATTTCAACTCCCACTCTTCATCATCAACATCCATCTGTTTGTTCTCCCTTTCAAAAAAAAATTGAAGCTCCGAAGGTATTTTGGCGCAAAATTATTTGCGGCTTTTAAAGCATCTTAATATAAGTATGTTGTCTATGAATCTTGTTCAAATTTTTTAATTCAATTTTTGTATTTTCTGCTAGTATTTAGGGCTTATTTAAAAAATAAATAAAAAATTAATGGTATTCATGAATTATGATGCTAAAATTGATGCTTAGTGTTATTATTGTGTTTATTTTATTTGTTTGTTCTTGTTTTTTAGAATTTCGATTTTTTTCGTGTTGACTGGTAAATAGAGAATTATTTTCCCAAGTATATAAACTTAAGGTTGAGCGTTGAATTACGGTATATTGAGATTTTTTTTTCCCAAGTATTTTAATTTTGAATCTTTCAGCAATTCCCATAGAGTCAGCTTCCTTCAATTTGATAGAAATTCTTTGTTTTGGAAATTTGGATTGTGGTTTGCTATTTTAGTTTTAAGAAGAAAATTGGAAAATAGAAGGCTATTTTTTAAAATTTATGTTTTTTTTTTAAAAAAAAGTTTGATGTTAACGATTTTATTTTGGTTTGGAATTACCAAACTTTTTTTTTTAAACTCAAATTAATGCTTAGGTTAGTTAGTAAGCTTTTCCAGATTAAATTGCTTGATAATTAACCATAGGTCACAAAAGTTAATAGAAAAAAGTCCAGGTCTCAAAAGATGAAAAGTAAAAAAGTTTAGTCCCTAATTGTTACCTTAACTCTAAAAAAGTGAATAATTTTTTTTTAAGGAAGTGAATAAAAAAGAAAAAGTCTTGGAGGGAAATAAACAACACTAAGGGCATGCTTGGATTGGGGGTAATAAAAGTCAAACTTAAAAAAACATAAGTAATTAGAAGTGTTGTTGTAGGAGACAAGACGTTTACAAATGAAATAAGATAGTTGTGCCATGAGGAAAAGAGAGAGATAGAGGAATTATTATCCTCGTAATGAGGGTAATAGTTACCCACCCTCCCTCTAGTGTAACTATTATCCCCAAAATGAGGGTATTAGTTCCACTTTCTTCACTTCATACCACACCATCACTATATAATTCTCCTTACAATCACACCATCACTATCTCCTCCTTCCCTATATTCACTTTCATTTTACTTGGTTTGACTTTTATTACCCTAGTAATACATCTCCTTCAATCCAAGCATACACTAAGAACTGACACGTGTCATTCTTGGTATCTGTTTTACTATTATGTTATTGATGATTGATTGATAGGCCAAAGGGCCGCCCATACCTTAATACTACGTAATAATTTTTCCAACTACAAACACAAACAAATGAACAATGCTATAGCAAAAATTACAAACACAAAAACAATCTCCATTGAAATTTCATCTCCCAAAAACACAAATTTGCCCTCTTTCTTTCTCAGTTTTCCATTGAAGCACACTTCACGATCTCCATTGAAATTCCAATCTTCCATTGAATTAGGTAAGATGTTGGTTTTTACTTATTTATTTATTTATTTATTTATTTATTTTATATAGGGCTTATTGTTATTTCAATTCTCAATTTAGGGTTCTTGTTAACTTGATTATTGAACTATTGTTTCCTAAGAAATTTTTGTTATAGCATTGTTTGTGTTTGTAATTTGACGTATTTATCTCATCTTGTAGGATGGAGTACGTGTATTAAGTCTGGTTTTGTGCTGCTGTATTAACTATGAAATTCAACCATTCAGACTTTTCTCCTTATTTTTCCCTTCCTGCTCAATAGCAAGAGGAAGAGGAATAGGAATAGGAACACGAATAGGAAGAGGAATTGTGAGCGAGGTAGTTGATGAAAAAACGAAAGCACAAGTTGATGATAATTCTTGCCATAGACACAATGATAATTATGAAATGTTGAATCAACAAAGAAAAGCAGCTGAGCTTATGGAACGCTTGAATGCGACAATAAATATTAATTGTTATATAGACTCAGCATTCCGCTCATCGCGCAAAAACCATGTATTTATGTTCATACAAAATGAGTACATTGTAATCAATCATGATCCAGAATCACCAACAAAGGATCGGCTTGTCCATGGTCCTCTCATGATTTGCGACAGTTTCCCTGAGCTTTACAATACTATATTTAATGAAAGAGGTATAGACTTTGCTTTGGTTGACATGGTGTTGATGAAGCATTTTTGAACTCATACAATGAGTGCACGAAGATAAAGTCTTCACCAGATACCTTATTTTACTGGTGATGTGATTATAGACGAAAGATGCTACTCAGAGATGTTTCCTTGTCTATAAGGGATAAAGTTTAGGAGTCCCATTTTCACTGCTGCTTTTGAATCCACTATCACCAATGAAGCTTACCTTTTTTACAAATCGGAGTATGTCCTTTTCAACTATTCTAACAACGAACTCATTACCACTGGTCTTATAACAGAGTCGTTTCCTTGTCTGGCAAAAACGTCTTCACAATTAACATTGAAGCTGCCTTTGCCTCACATAAGCGTAATCAAGTTTACCTTTTTAAAGGTAATTCTTATGTGCTCATTCAATATAACCCAGCCAATGCTGATGACAGTAAGATAATCGTCGACCCTTAGGAAGTTATATCCACCAACTGGCCTTCTTTAAGCGACTTTGTGCCTTACAAAAATATGGGACCTGTGTCTCTAGAGCCCAAAACGTGGCCGGATTGCACATTAGGGGCCAAAGGGTTACATTAAAGCCCTGCTTGGGGGTAAGGTCTCTCGGGAGATAGAGGAGGAGTATGGTCTTTTTGCAGTTTGGGAACTTTAAATACCTGTATCGGAGTTTGGAGGGTTCATTGTGATTACGTTACCAGGAAATTCATGTTAATCTATTTAATTGCTATACCAAGGAAATCAAGAGGCATTCCTGATATTTCACCCGCATTACTCGGGGATACTTTTGTACATTTACTATCATGACATGGTATTGATGCCACGATGCCCTTGCCTACTCAGCAAATTGTTAAACGACTGTTTTTAGTAGAGGAAGTATATTTCCAAGGTTATGAGACAAATGGGTAGTGTATCACATTGAAAATTTCGCAAATAAGAGAAAAATAAAGTAAAATGGAGTGGTTTTTGGAGGGAAAGTAAAACGGTAAGTGAAATTGAGAACGGGGTGGTCCCGAAAGAAGGACAGTGACATTTTGTAACTTAGGGGAAAAGTGAAAAAGGTAGGGGAAAAGGGAAAAAGCTCAATCCATCCTCCAGCCTTATAAATGTCGAAGGATAGTATAGGGAAAAATTGAAAACACCATGCGAGGCCGAAAAACAGTGGAAGGAGGGCCAAAAATTATCGTTAAGTTCCTCGGTTGTAGCTGATTGCAATGGAGGGTGTTTCTAACGACGGATGTGTCATTAGTGACACCGGTAATGATGATGTTGTAGTACTTGATTTGGTGAAGCATGGTGGGGACGGTGGCCGACCACATGGAGCTGAGTACGAAGAGGACGGTGCGGGGTTACAGGCGTTGTTGAAAGGGGTTAGTGTCTAAAAGTTTTCCTTTAAAAGAAAAATGGGTGAATTAGGGTTTAATTAGAGCACCAACAAATTTAGAAATTGATCGTCTTATCGAACCAAAATAGGAATCAGATTGATCATGAAATTAGGAATTAGAATGTGGAAATTTTTTAGGAATTATTGTTTGAACCATGGCGAATTACAATGTTTGAGTAATTATTGTTTAATTAAATAATGGCAAATTAGATGGAATGTGGAATGTTATATGGGATTATTTTGTAATTCATGCTGAATGACAATGTGTTATTACATGTTTAATTAGAATGGAAGTAAATGTGTTAAATGAAATGTTAATGGAAATGTTAATGGAAGTTAATGTTAGTACTAAAACCAGGGTATCAGATATTGTAGCACATTGATGAACTGGGGTTGTTGTTGCATTCAAGCTGTTGAGAAATGTTTGGTGATCAATGAATAGTTGTTTGTTTTTCTTATGTAATGAGTAGTTGTTGGTTGTGCTTATTTACCATGTTATTTGGTTATGTATTGTTTGTGTTTTTTATATCCAAGGTTGTGATTGGTGAAGAGTCTTATAAGACTCCAAAGAAAGGGTTTAGTAGTGTGGCTATTTTAGTTGAGATAGAAGAGTATGTTGAAGTGGATGTTGGTCTTCCTCCTCTTGCAGTTGGGATGGATTTTCAATCATGGCAGGAACTTGATGAATATTTTAGGGAATATGGGAAGCAAAATGGATTTTGGGTGTTCGTACTAGTGCTTGCAAAGTAGGAAAAGGGCCTTATGCAAAAATGAGAAGGAATTGTTTGTGGACATGTGAGTGCTATAGATTGCCTAATAGTAAGCATAAGAAGGTGGAGGAGAGTTTAGTGATTGATGCTCAGATTGTTGAGGAGGATGCATGTGTTGTGAAGAGGAAGAGTAAGAAAGTTCAATGTGCAGTGAACATATATGCAAATGTTAACGAACGTAGTGAATGGGTTATTCAGAGGGCTAATCTTGAGCATGGTGGACACACCCCCACTCCAGGCAAGGCTAAAAATATTAGTAGGTTGAGGAAAAAGTTTCCGGTCGAGAATCCTCATATTGTCAGGCAGCTCTTCAATGATAGGAGGTTCGGGGTTCCTGTGAAACAAATCTATAGCTTTATGGCCAGGGAGCGAAATGGGTTGGAGAGCATGCCATTTGCTCAGAAGGATCTTCATGATGAAGTGGAAAAGCAGAAGAAAAAAATATTTGATGAAGGTGATGCTAAAGCAATGTTTTCATATTTCCAGACAATGGTTGAAGAAAACTCAAATTTTTTCTACACGTATCGAGTAGACGAAGAGGGTAGGTTGAAGGATGTACTTTGGGTAGATGCAAGGAGTCGGATGGCCTATGAGGAGTTCCCAATGTAGTGTGTTTTGATTCCACCTACTTGACTAATGAATATAAGCTACCGATTTGCAACTTTGTTGGAGTGAACCATCATGGTCAAACTATTCTATTTGGGTGAGCGCTTGTTAGTAGGGAGACTGCTGAAACGTTTGAGTGGGTATATAGCAATTGGTTGAGGTGTATGCAGAAAAAAACCCCTCTTGCAATACTTACCGATCAAGACCCTGCCATGAGGAAAGCTCTGAAGGCCACAATGAAAGGTGCTACACACAGATGGTGCATCTGGCACATTTTGCAAAACTTTTTTCAACAAAGTTAGGAAAGCATTCTAACTATCCCGACTTGAAGGAAGACCTTGAGAGTGTTATGTATGATAGTTTGGACTGTGAAGAGTTTGAAAGACGGTGGCCAGAAGTGATCAAGAAACACAACGTAGAAACGAACGAGTGGCTGGAAGGTGAGTTGATGTGTTTACAATGTACTAAAAAATTATTTCAGTAATCTACAGTAACATTTTGTAGCATAGTTTCTTGCACACTTGCCTATTATAATTAGTGTGAATATATTGATTGGATGTATTTTATATTTTGGTAATTTATTTAACTTAGTGTAAGTGGGTTATGTTGTGATAATTTACTTGAATTGAGTTTATGTTACGTTTAAATGGATAGGCCTGTATGTTGAGCGTCATATGTGGATACCTGCGTTCGTGAAGCATCTCTTTTGGGCCGACATGAAAACAACACAGAGGATTAAGAGTATACATAGCTTTTTTTATGGTTATTTGAGAAAGCACACATTGCTTAGTGAATTTGTGGAGAGATATTGTGAAGCTTTGAAGGTTAGAGCTGTTAGTGAGAAACAAGCCAATGATAACAATTCTAGATTTGTTAGGCAACCTATGATAGCCTTCCATGCGGAGTCTTTTTTCCGGAAAATCTACACTGACGCCAAATTTAAAGAGGTACAAAGGGAGTGCAATAGGCTGCTATATGTGACTGGTTTGGAGAAGAGGAAAATATCTGATGTAGTGATTGAACACTTACTTGAGGATATTGTTTGGTACAAACCAAAGAACTCAAGGAAAGAAGTACCATTGTAGGGGAAACGGGTGTACAAGGTTACCTTCAATAGCAGCACCAAAGAAGCAGATTGTGAATGTAGGTACTTTGACTGCCATGGTATCATATGTCGGCACGTGATTATGTGTATCAAATGAACAATTGTGGTTTAATTCCTGAGAAGTACATATTGCGTCGGTGGAGGAAAGATGTTATTAGGAAGCACACTAGGGTGAAAGTGAAGTACCATGATCCAAGTAAGACGGAAGCGGTCTGTAGGTTTGATAAGACGATGGTGAAGTTCTCTTCCATTTCTTCTAGGGCATCGGCTTGCAAAATTGCGTCGGATGTTGTTTTGAACGGTCTACAGTTGCTTAATATCCAAGTAGAGGAGAAATTGTCTATGCTTACCCGGAATAGATCTGACCTTTTGGGATGTAACGACACACTTTCCTCAGTTTTCCTAGAGAAGGAGGCTACACCACCTACCACTGAAAAGCAAGGCAGCCAAGGATTTGTCTTTATAACTTGCTAACATAAAGGACCCGCTACTTCCGAAGAAACCTCCTCACCGTACAATTGATTTGCAATATAAGTCATGTGTTGAAAAATCCAAGAAACCTGGTAAGAGGACTAATGGGAACCAAGGTGCATCTGCTGCTGCTGGGAATCAAAATAAGCTGCATTCAGTTTCTTCTCAGGTAGGTTTGTTATTACAAGTAAATGAGTTGTCTTGTTTGTTTGAATATATTTGTGTTTTGTTAGTGATTTATCGAACTGGTTGTTGATGTTTCAAAATGGTTATTGATTTATGAAACTATATTAACATACTAGGACCTCATTAATTGTGACAAGAACAATTACCCTTTTCGATGATGGGTTATAGTCCCCATTGTGTAGGAGGGATACAAATGACAGATGGTGATGGGTCTTTGGGTTATTTTACCTCATTGTCAGGAGTGCAGTGTCCTTCGTCGTCTGGCAGACTTTCAATCTCTCCATCACAATGGCCTCATCCAGTTTACCCGCCATATTACGTGCCATATCAGTTTTGTCAAATGTAAGGATTCCCGATGCAAATGGGTGGTTGCATGTATCATAATACGACAACATCTCAGTCCCCGTATGTGGTGAGGCATGCAACTCCGGAAAATATAACTCAAAGTCCTAACCCTGCTCTGTCTAACCAAAGAGGAGCCTAGCAATGCATGGCAGAGACAATGCCCTCCCCCCCTCCCCCGTTCAAGGAGCACCCTTTTGTGTACTTTTGTAGGGATCTCGGTTAAGATATGCTCATTGGGGAGTTAACATCATAATATTGCGTAGACTTAACTCCTAACCTCACTACCAGTGAATAACACCCCTTTTGTTTTAATGGAGTTCAAAGCTGAAGATGTAAAACTAATATAGGGCCATTTTTTTGTACAGAAAGGCTTACTGATATATTTTGGGTACATGTAATTTGGAAGGTGGGATAGGTTTATTTTGGGAACATGTAATTATGAAGGTGGGTTTATTTTGAAAACTATGATTCCTTTTGAAAATAGATATTTCAATGCACACAGGAAACCCGATGTAGGTTAGATTTTGATGTTTTCATTCTTTTCGGCTATAATTGTGAGCAAATTTAGTTTACCCTTTTTGTCCTTCAGTTGGATGTAAATACATGAAAGAGGTGTCCATGTCAACTTCAGTTAACAATGGCTGTAACACTTACAGCATGGTTATTGCTGAACTTATCGGGACAATCTAATCGTGTCATTGGTTTTGTTTTTTTCCTTTGTTGTGATTACTTAGTTCAGCAATTGATATACCCTTCCTTCGATTTGTTTCATTAATTTCAGCAAGTGTAAAGTTTCATTACAAAGGTACCTGATCATACTTGCTTATAACCATTATGAGTAAGTACTATTCTACTCTCCAGACATACATAAACCAAAATCAACGTGATTGGCCAACTACTCAAAGGTTCCACTGTAATGATAAAGGGTTCCATTTTACTGGTGAAGGGTTCTACTGATATGATAGAGTTCGATAGTATTAATTAGTACCACTGTAATTAGCGAAAAGCCCTTTACATCCACAAGGGTACCATTAAAAGATATTGAAGTGGTTTATGTGTTTAAACAACATTCTAACACATGCAAGTGTAAAGTTTTTAATCTAATAGGGTAGTCGCCGTTATGAAAAATTACACGGGTCATGTAATTCAGAAATAGGGATGATGTAACGACCACCACATACAAATATGTTGTATGATGTCAAATAACATTGTAGGCTGTACTCTATATATCGCAAGAATAAAGTATATCATACATAGTATTTGTACTTTCAATCACAAATAAAATTTATTATAACCATTAAATAATTACTAATTATGAAGGTTGTATCCTCTTTCTTACAGTTTCGGAGTGTTAGTCATAAGAATTATTAATTTTTGTTAATCTGAACGAACACCAACCTCTATTTCAATTAACATTGACTATAATTTCCGTGTATTCTATAACGCTTAAATAAGTAGTAAGTGCATCAATTACTAATTAGGATGGTTATACACTAATTAGGAAGGTTATAATACAATACGGTTGGTTTTCTTCTAAGATTGAAGAACACCCTTTACACAAACTATGAAGTCAAACCCTTAGTCAATTGAAGTGCTACCCTTGTGGATTTCAAATGTACTGTAATTCCACCTGTGTGAGTAACAAATGACCAAATTTACCATATCAATGTCCCACTAAGTGTGTAATACTGAAAGGGCCACTATAATCATCAAGGGTACCAAGTTACATACGAAGGGTTCCAAAGATAATTCTGGAGCACCAACCTAAGATGTAGTACCATTGGAATCACCATAGGATCCATTTAAAATAACAAGAGTACCATTAATTAAGTATTGAAAGGTTATAGCATAGGGTGCTTTTGAAATAAACTAGGGTACTGTTGAAATAACCTAGGGTACCATGATTTGTGCTAGAGGAAACCAATAAACCACACATGCATGTACGAAAAAGATTTAGTGTTTAAGGATTGTGACGTGTGACATTTAAATATGTAATAAGTTCTCTATTACAAGATACCCTTTACACTTTGATCGTTGTAAAAGATTTAGAGTTCACATTGGACATTTAAATACACACTTTGATCGTTGAATAAGATTTAGAGTTCAATTTGATCGTTGTAAATAGACACTTTGATCTTTGTAAATGATTTATAGTTGACTTTGAACGTTGTAAAAAAACTCTTTGATCGTTTTAAAAGATTTAGAGTTCACATAATGGAGCTGTAAATAGACACTTTGAGTGTTGTAAAACATTTAGAGTTCACGTTTGGGAAAAACGTAGTATGCGATTTTGTTTCATGTACATATAGCCTTTGGGCGTATCACATGCTACATATACATGTACCTTGTAATTTGTATATGTATCAATTTATAGTCAAACAAGTTTGAAATATTGAGCCGTATTTGTTAGGTTTGCTTGTAGGAGTTGTATGTATTTTGAACCCACAGATTTTGAAATGACCCTTCACAGTTGAGTTTTGTACCTCTGAAAGCAAATCATAACCATTTTCATATGAATTTATGTACCATTGACTAAATTCAATCAAACAGATGATCTCTAAAGTGGTACCAACCACACATACGTCAGTTACTTTGTGGCATGTCAAGCCCAAAGCCCAACAAACATTTGGGCTGTTTCTTTAGCGGAAAAGTTTCAGAATTTCACCGCCAAATTTTGGGGGTTTTTGGCTAGTGTAAACTCTTTGTTTTCACTTATAAATACAACTATATAAGGGCTTTTGGCCAGAATAAGAAAAGGTTTTAAAAAAATCAATTTCCCTAGCCAGAATGTCATTCAAATCAACCTCTTCGTCTGCCCGTGTAAGTCAATTTATGACCTGTACCAGCGACATTGTTTGGGTTGCCGCAAAGCGGTGCAATTGCGTGGGCCAAGTAG